GAGAAAGAGCAAGCAGCCTGGTGTTCGAATCTGGTTGCTAGGATACTATGGAGACCCTCCACTGCTAGGCAGACAGGAAAGAAAAAATGTGTCCATATGCCTTATAACCTACAAACAGCAACAACAGAAACATCGTCTGCCTTCTTCTACCCTTTCCCATTAGGAATCCAAACCCAACTCTTCAGTGAAATAACAAGTAGCAGGAGCTTGGAAATGTGGCTCAGTAGAGCAAGGAAGTTGGTCATTTATATTCTCAGGCAGTCTCTGGAGCTCCTCTACTGAAGGGCTTATCAGTATTTTCATTATAAGCCGCATTTTAGGGGCAAACAACTATGCTTCAATACACCCTCATAGGGTTTTAGCAGCCTGGTCTTATTTTTATAAAGGCTGCCACAACTTCAGTTTTACTGCCATAGACCATGATGTCAAGTTAACAATCAAACTTAAATTGGATAGTCTATTAGAATAATGTTTAGTTGGAATTGAACTCCTCCACAAGAACAAGAAAGATGAATTTCAAAAATCGACTTCAGGTTCAATTCTCATGTAGGTCCGGTTCGCCTGGGTATGTGAGGAATCTGCCATGCTAGTCTGTGGCACAAAATCAGATTGTTTCCAGTGGGGACATTTAGAAGTGAGTGGAAAGAGGAGCTTGCTTTCTTCAAGAGTGGGACTCAGTTTCTTTGAGAGTTTTAATCGTCTGCTGCTTGGTTAAATTCAATATTCTTACCTAGTCAGGAGAGCTATAGTTACGATCAGGACTGTGCTGGTGGGAGATGTGGACTGCAGTGACATCTGAGATGCAGAGCTTTATTAACAGGTAGCAATTAGTCCTTGGTGGAAAGTGCACGCTTGTGCCCACACACCTGCGTGCGTGCACGCGCGCACACACACACACACACACACACACACACACACCCCTCAATTATTCTAACGACAAGCGCAAGTGCCCTCTCAGCTACTCATCCTGATCCTCTCTGGCCTGAACTTGCTTTTCCTCAATTTCCACCATGGTATTCTGTTACTGCCAGTAGCTGCTGTCGCTCCCCAGATGTACCCTCTGCTTTCTTTTGCTGTCTTTTCCCTTTGCTGACGGTCCTCCTCACCTTAACCCCACCCCTCTTATCCCATCACCACTCACCTAAATCATGGCCATCGATCAAATACTTACTTTAAATACCTCTACTTCCACAAGTTTCTGATACCATAAAATTAAATGGGCTCAATTATATTTTGCCACCTGTCTTAGGTATCTCCTCTGTGACTTGCCTTACTCTACTTTCTAGAATATTTACTTGTGCAGTATTGTCAAGCCCTGGTTAACTCCTTCATAGGACTTACGCAATTCTCATCTCTAATGCATGACACTAACTTGCACATGGTGCATCCCATAAAAGTACTGAACTGAGCTATAGGGCATATCTGAAATTTAACTGCTACCTATGAAGAAATCTATGTTTTAATATCATGCCACCTATGATTACACTAAAATCCTAGAATTCTCCCAACTTCCTACAGAATTTAACAGACAGCCTTTAGGAAGATTCTATTTCTCCTGAAATGTACCAATGTCAAGGTTTAAAAAAAAATCAGATAAGATCTTGTTAAAATTAATGCCTCCCTAAAAATAAGAACATATATTTCTTTCTATCCTCAGCTCTCCAAAGTACTTCACAATCAAAAGGCATAACACTACAAATCAAAATATGTCATCATTCTTTGAAATTCAGTTTTCTCTAGGGTGAAAAGCAACAGCTTAACAGAAACACAGAGACACTAACAACTTTTGATAGGAACTCAAGTCTTTATAGACCAACTGAAAAAAACACAGAGCCCTATGACAGCAAAATGGAAAGGATTTGAGAATATTTACAATAGGTAAAGGGTTTAGATCAACATACCAGTGACAGAATGTTCTAATCTATTACAGAGTCAATCTTCAGGAATAAAATAGCATGAAATAAAATTACTTTAAGAATCCATAAGAACCACTCTCTATATATAATCAATAGGCTGATCTCATAAAATGAATATTTTTATATAGTTTTCATTTTTAAGGGTTTATTTGCTTAATTCAAAACATAGTCTAATAGTTTTACCTTCTCAAATAGATATTTGGTAGCAGTAGAATATAGATTCCAATTTGCTAATCAGTTCTTTGCTCTTCAAATGACAACAGAAAAAGGGCTTAAGGGTTATTTCTAGACACATGTGAAAGAGACAAACCAAAACAACCCCCCTGCCTCATAGGTGCAGCAGGAGTGCCCCAGCTCTGTGCTAGAATCTGACACAGCCTTCCCTCCAATTCCAGCTTACAGGGAAAATTCCAAATCAAATATGTTACGTTAATTTATATTTTACACTGTTTTTCAAATGGTCAAAAAATAACTAAAAAAATAAGTTTTTAAAGATTCTAATCCTCAGAAGATAACCTCGGTAAGCAAAAAGTAAACAAACATATTTGCACACATAGATAATTGAATAGGACATTCCCTGGGTAGTCACCTATATCCAACAGAAAGAGAATAGAAAACTACATGACCATGAATTTGAAATCAATTTTGGACTATTTAGATGGTTTCATGTTAACTCCAACTCCCAATAATCTGTAAGTTTAAGAATGATGACCAAATTTAACTTGTACTAAAAATAAAATATAAAGATATAAACACTTGTTGCCAGTAAGTTGGTATAATCAAATTATTTATAGTGAAATAAACAGAAATTCAAACAAGTCTCCTTCACTTTGGCAAAAATTCCTAATTCTTTGTAGAATCATCTTGTACAATCATTCAAATGACATAAGAATAATCGTTTTGCATACAATATACTTCTCTTTCTCTTACCAAAGGTACTCTACACTTAAGCAAATTTTATTCTAGTTTTCTTTATGTAAGTGTGAAAAAAGAACAGATGTTTTTCCAAAATTATTTAAGCTTGGGAGACATTCATTCTATCGTTTTCTTCAGTATAATCCTTCAGAATCACCAAAACCATCACGGTGATACCTTAATAGTTGACTTCCTTAAAGCACAAGTTATTAAATAAATATCAGAACGCACAGTATGGTTCAACAGGTAAAATGTTTATTATGACAGAATGTTGTGAATTATTTGCCACACTAATTTCATCTTCCACCATGGATTTTTTAAAAAATCTAGTTGCTCTACATGTCAAGCACTAAGAGATTTCTAAAACTTACATTATACAGCTCAGTCCCTACTGCCTAGATTCCTTCAGATCTTGTCTGATAGAATGTTTCACCGGAGTTATCAGCTGGCTTGATCATGCTTCAAATAAAACCTATTAAAATCGTCTTTTTATAAGAGCAGAGTTTGCTCTGAGTTACTCCAAATTCCTGCAGATACTAAAATGGGATCCTATGGAATGCTGAAAGATGCAGAGAGCTGTCTTTGACTTATTTTTTTCATTATGCAAAACTTGGCCCTGGAGAGATGGTCATGTACCTCATTAGCTAAAACAGGCAAGCATGTCAGGACTGCAAATTAACTTACCGGGGAAAGCTGAAGTGGATTCAGATCATTCAGGTTTCGAAAGCAGATCTAAATCTACTGAACTGAACTATTAGGGCAACTCTGTGAGGTTAGAGTCTCAGAAATGTTTATCCTTATTGTCTCTTCCCCACACTCACAGAATACAAACTTCTCCTTAAACCAAACCTGCATGAGGAACAGCAAATGCTCTACTGCAACCAACAAGGATAGTTACACGTCTAAGTTTTCAAAAGCATCATTAGTACCTACTCACAAGCCACCCCCACACACACATCCAATAAATACAGATGGAGACAATCAAATACTCTTTCTCCTTATATTAAATCTTTGTGTTTATAAAGTGAAGGGTTCCCAGGGACCTCATATTATTATGTAACACGTGTCACCCAGCCAACGTGATGCTGTTAGGAATAGACTATCAAAACCCTTCGTTTTATCAATTATGTCATTATTAACTTAAAATACCATTCATCTGGGTGCTCATTCCATATTAACTTCATGCTCCTGCCACTTTACTCTCCATAAGAGCTCTGAGTTGAGTGGTGTATAACAAGCTTCATTCAATTTTCCCACCCAAGTTGTGAAGCCCACTGACATCAGAACTACACAGTTGTCTAAAATGCTAGAACAATACCAGAGTAGTTGCTTCAGAAGCCAGGAGTAAGGCAAACAATGTGCCCACGTTGTCAATAAAGATAAGTGTACTTCTCTGTATCTGACCCTAGAAACATGCAACCCTCTTGGGAGACAGAGGCACCCCATTAGCAACATTATATAAATTCCTTAAGGAAAATAAGCAATATTCTCCCTCAGATGGTATATAAAAAAATATTTTTTTTAAAAATCAACAGACTAGGCTTCCACTTGTGGATTGTAAATGTCGTCGAATTCTGGAAATCAAAAAATCTTCCCTTTCATATGTGTTTTTGCTTATTTTTGACACTTTGATGATGCCAGAACATCAGCTTCGAAGGGTACCAGCGAGAAACGCCGGCATGTAGAGAAATCCAGGAGCGCCACAAAAGCGCCAAAAAGAAAGTAAGGGTGATAGCAGACGCATTTCATTTCAAGTCTGATGAGCCTGCAGTTAGGATTTTCCGGTTGGGCAGGTTTGCCAGGGCATTTGGGAAACGGGGCTTTCTACTCCTCTTCTCACACTCACACATACACAGCACAAAGCACACCGGGGGCGCATTCAAACTCTACGTACAGTAGGGGGCCTATATGAACGTATATGTTTATTAAAAAAAAAAAAAGAAAGAATAGCTTGACATCTGACAAAGACACGAAGGCAACGTAGGTGCAGTGAGTCTGACTCTGAGAAATGTACACAGCCCCGCAAGAAGTGCCCGTTAAAATGAAACATTTCTGAGGATGAGGACAGACACGGCAAGCGGGAGGGGCGGGGGCCGACAGACAATACAGAGACCCGCAGCTCCCCACCGACAGGGTGCCACACGGACCCGGAGCGTAACCCCTGCTTACTGTGGACTCTTGGGGTAGAAGGGCAGAGTCACATGGCTGAGATCCTGGATGTCGAAGGCGGTGGGCTCAGCGGAGATCGCCTGCCGCTTGGTGCGCGGCTCGCCTTGCAAGGTGCTCGCGCTCTGCTTCTGCGCCTGCTGGGTAGCCGGCCGGATCACCGAGCGGTACTTGTCCAGCTCGTTCTGCAGCTTCTGGATCAGTTCGTCCTTCTGATCCAACTCCAGCTCCAGCTCGTCGATGAGAGCATCCCGCTGCCTCAGCTCCTCGATCTTCTCCTGGAGCGCGTACTGTAAATCCCGCAGGGTGCCCATGCTCCTCGGGGCTGCCGGGGGCTCCTTCCTGCCGCTTCTCCGCGTCTTGGGGCGTCCTCCCCTCTCCGATCAACTTTCCCCAAAGTCGCTGCTGCCTCCCGAGTGCGAAAGCTTCCTACTTGAGACCAAAGCCAGCCCTGGCTTCTGAGCATGCCCAGTCTCCCGGCTCCAGCCACCGAGAGTTTCAGGGCAGATTCCACTTCTCCGGGCTGTGAGGCTGAGCGCGGGGATGAGCCAAAAGGCGGGTCGAACCGGAATTCAACCTGAACCGCGGTGGGCGCCGCGGCGCCAGGGAGAAGAGCCGGGAGCGCGATGGCAGGGGAGCGGGAGAAGGGACTCGGATGGGGGCTCCGAGGCCGCGGCGGGCGTGCCCGGGTCACTCACGCCGGGCGCCGGAGGAAGCCGGCGGAGCGTGTGGGGAGCCCGATAAACCTCTGAGCGCGCCGAGGGCTGCGCGGGCGGAGCGAGGCGGGAGGACTACTTTGGGGGCGGGGAGGCGGGCGGGAGAGGACCGGGGGGACCCCGCGCAAACTCGGGAAGCGTTAGCCGGCTCCAGAGCATACCAGGCTGGAGGACGTGGGGCTACAATCCTGGCGACGAGGGAGGGCAGAGCGGGCTCTGCATCCTCAGCGCGCTGAGTTCTGCAGGTGTCTGGACCGCCAGCCTCACCAAGAAAGGCTCCCCAGCCTGCGGCTGAGCTCTCGCGTCTTCCACGCAGCCCTTCTCACGGGGAGCGCCTCACACAGGTGGCTAACGCTTGAAAACAAACTTGCTTTTCAGGAAAGGAGAGAGTATCCGTGCAGGGGAGGGACTTCCACTCACATCCAGGCGCCTTTGGGGATGCGGGAGGGAGCTTCTGATTTTCTTCTCCCCCGTCAGCATTGCCAGCTCCTGCGAATGACCCCCCTTTCCGCTCCTTTCAAACACGGATTAATGAACTCTTTTGGGGGCAAGGGTCGAAACGGGATTGGGCCCCAGAGGGCTGCTCAGCTTCCCCACTGCCCCTCCCACTTAAACCAGTGTCTGCGGAATAGTTTATGGAAGGGTCTTGCTCCTTCCCTGTACTGAATTCTGGGCGGGGAGCGCAGGGCGGGTCAAAATCGTTGCAGAGCTCCAAAAAGTTCATCCTGAAATGGAACCATATCTTTGAAATTACTTCCTTGACAACCAAGCCGTTAGGGCTGTATCCTTCCACTTGAATGGCAAGACACAAACTTCGAAGAAGAGGGAAAATCTTAAAGAAAAGGAGGATCCTAGACGGGCTGTGGTAAAGTGCCGCCCCCCTCCACCTACTCCCACCTCCGACCCCATCCCTGCCTGCTCAATATTTCCTAAAATGATGACAATTTAGGTAGCGTCCTTTCTGTCCAAGGGTAATTCTCCCATAGTGTTTAGAATCCTCCATAATACTTACTGAAATTCCTCATATTTACCTAAATCTTCACCAAATCATTTAAAATTTTAGCATCTTAACTGCAGTCCTCTAATTACTGTTCTTGAGAACTCAGTGTTCTAATCCTCGATGCTCTATTTGGCCATTCCTTAACACCAAATAAAACAAAGTAGGTAGAAAATAAATTAAAATTCTGAATTGCAATCCAGAACTATTCACTGGAATCTAAATTTAGCCAAGGACATATATATCAGTCCCCCCCAAAAAAGTGCTCACTTTTGCTACTGAATACACAGCCTGTTCTATCTAAGTAAGAAGAAGAAGAAAAGAATGGGGAGGGGGAGGGGAGGAAAGAAAAGAACAGAACCAGCTAGTCAATATCACATTTATAAGCTTTTTGATTTAAAGTGTACTTGTTTGTAACTAGAAGTATAAATGAAAAAGGATGTATAGTCCTAAACAGTCTTCTACCCAGATGATGATTTAATTCTCTCAGTACAAATGATATGACACTTAATTTTTCTGCTTTCCAGCATGGATATTTTCAGAAGTGCATTTCTTTCAGAATGTAATATATAAAGTGGATAATTCCCCAAAATAAACATGAATAACTTACAGATCCTGATAGCAGCAAGTAGGAGTTCTGAATTATTGTGATTTTAATTAAAACTAAACCAAGCAGAAGTGCTCTGGCTTTGTATAACTGACTCCATTCTAAAAGAGCTTCAGTGACATTTTCCTTCTCCCAGGAAAAAGGCCAAATTCTTATCTTACTTAACCTATGGGAATTCTTTAATTCCATGGCAAAATGTCTAAAACTAAATGAGACTTTTTTTCCCTATAGATCTATTATAGGGTCCAGGAGCCCAAGAGTTTATGTCTAAAAATATATCAGGAGCAATGTATAGGGGACATCGTTAGACAACTGCTAAGCAGAGTTATGTTTTAAGGTTCATTTGAGGCTTAAATGGGGTTTACTTAATGTCTTTGAGCAGCACAAAGTAGAGAAGATTCTTCTTCATTTGTAGAAAGCTTGTCTACATGTAAAAAGGATAAAAGAAACTAAAGCTTTTTTCCCCCAAAATAAAAAATAGCAGTTTAACCAAAAAAAAAAAAAAAAGTCAGGTTTCTTTGGGTTTTTTTAACAAAAGTGAAGTTTCTTCCACTGTTATGTAAATATTTTTCATTATTTAAGCTATCATATCTACATGCCACTATAGGATATATCCATGTTACATTTTCATTTTAAATGGAATTCTTGTGATACAAAATATATTCCTTGATGAATCCCATAGTGAGAGTCAGGAATCTGTTGTAATAAATGCAAAGAAACTAAACAGCTGGGAAGATATGACTATTACAATTGACTTACACTTTAAAAGGTATTTAAGGTGTAAGAACATATTTGGTTGTATTAGCCTATACGATGAAAAAGTAAAATTGCCCTTAAATACTTTATAATTGTATATGCAAAATCCAGAATTCTAGGCTTTTCCCTTCCATTTTTAAAGTCAAAATAAATATTTTAAGTAAGTTTTTCAATGCTGTTCTTGACTGTTTGTTTAAATCCTGAGGGACCCTGGTTTTCTATCTCAACCTTTTGAGTGATTCCAATATTTTCTTAAATATCTTTTGCATTGTATTTGGTAAATGCTGGAAATAAATTTTACATAAATAATCAAGCTTTTGTAGTTTCATTTCAACAGACAGATTTTACTATATGTCTTATAGTAAACTTAATTGGCTAAGTTATAATATCACGGATCAGGCACAAGTCTACTTCCTGCTATTAGGCTACCACAAATTTGGGATGGAGTGGAACTGCATATATTGAGCTCTCCCACTGCCCTTCTGGGATGAAGTCTTGATGTTAGATGCTGAAGCACAGAACAATGCAATTTTGAAGGAACTTAATTTATACACTAGAATTCCATAGTCAACTCACAACCTACTTTCAGCAGTCTCTCTTTGTTGTAGCTCTGATGGAAGCAAAGTTCCACCAGTAGCCAGACCCACCTGTGGCATATTGATGCTCTTCAATTTTGCATGCAACCCTCATGACTGAGAATAAATATTATCACACCTTCCTTAATGGAATCTCAGAATCACTTAATAAGACATTCAGTAATTCAGCTTTATCATAATACTGGCCATTAAAAAAAATAAAGCCTTTAGAATTTATTATCCTACACTAAAAACATAATTAGCCTCAAAAGAACTCTGATAATTTCGTCATCCAGCTGCCCATTCCACTGGTGCTACATTTCCTGCAGGAGTCCTAAGTTTGAAATTTTCTTCTGCCATTTCATGTACATGTCTTGAACAGCAAAAACCAAAACCAAAACCAAACAAAACACAGATGAGCTATGTTTTGGGTCATGGAAGCCTCCCCTTGCAGAAAACTGCTAGAAGTAACAAGTAACCCTAAGAATCTAGATATGAAGGTTACTATTACCGGTAAACATACTGGCTTGCTCAAAACTGTTGCTCTTAATCAAGACCACAAGAAAAATAACTAACTTCCTGGAGCTCTTAATGCACGACAGGCACTGTTCATGTAACCCTACAAGTTGGACATTATTATTATTTCCATTTATATTTGACAAAAGGGAGGCAGAGGATCTCCCACCCAATGAATATCAAAGCCTGGATTCAAATAAAGACCATTTGATGCAGAGCTCAATCCCATACCCCTGCCCTTCATTGCCTTCTGCAGGACTTCCAAGGGTTGCTAATGCCTTGTTCTGGATCCCGAGATATAAAACATTACTTAACATTAACTAGCCTGACTTTGGGGTTGGATATGTGGAAAGAGGAGAAATTTGGAAAATCCTAAAAGAGCGGGAAAAGATTTTTTAAAAGTTCCTTTTCCCAAAACTGTCTCCACTTCAGCCCCATTTCATCTTGATTTAGGGTTACCAACTTGCGCCCATTTGCCTGGGACTGTCCTGGTTTTCATATTAAAATTGCTTGGGACTGTCCTAGTTTTTAAACTGAAGTCCTAAGTACCCCTTGGTCCTGGGCAAACCAGGATGGTTGGTCGCCCTATATAATTCAGGATTGCAGAACAGAACCTCTCTATTTTATATTTTCACATTTTGTGTTCAAAGTTACTGACAGAAAAGTAAAACCAAGGAAGATCTGTAATAATAATACCTATTATTTTAAGCACATTACAAACCCACTTATGCATTTGTTTGTGTGAATGTGCTTTAGGAAAGCAATCATCCCATTTCAATGTATAATACACCACAGGAATTGTCTTTGAACTGTAAGGGGAGATGAGTCAGACAACAGAATTTTAATTATACTTTGATAAATTAGACAAGGATTCAAGTCTCTCTTTTTGGTTTATCTTTCTTATAAAAATCTAGAATTTAGACAGATTGGCTTCCTATAGATTAAGCACAACAATTCAAGCTCCTGCTAGTTGATTAAGTCCTATAAAATTAGATTATTCTTACTACTGTGTTGGTGGCTAGATTTGGCCACCAGGAATGCATAATTAAATGAATATAAGTAAAAATTCTAATGGTTGAGTTGTTTAGAAGTCATACTACCGAAATGATAAGTTCTGGATGGAAAAGGAAAAAGAAAACCATAAAACGTTAATGATGAAAATCTTACTGCAGAGACTTGGAAAGTAATAGTGCATCGTACCATACTTGCTAATGTGCTTAGAGTTTAATACCGAATTAGTGTCATAGTTAATATTACTTGAAATGAATTCTTATATTCCACTGCTTAAGATGATGGTAAGTTATTATTGGACCCCAGCCTAAACTAATGTGCATGGAAATCCATGCACTATCTACCAAGAAGACAATTTCTTTGTACTCTTTACTCAGCTGACCATTTCCAAAGACTGAAAGAAATAAAAGTTTTTTAAGAAAAGTATTAAGTTTTCCGTGGTTCTTTCATAAATGGAAACATTTTTAATGCATAAAACGGCATTTAAAATGCTTTCTTCTCAAAATATTTTACTGCATTTTAAGTCCAGTGAATATATGCATGAGAATGCAACATAATAATATCTCCTGTATCTGATTAATAAATTAGTTTCTCAATTCCATTTCAGTGATTTTTCTGGCATATTAAATGTACATCATTTCCTAACTCAATGCATCAATATTTCCCACAAAATATTCAAAAATATTTGCAAAAGTAATTTTGCATTTGAAAACATATTTGACAGCATGTGACTCAGAGGAGAATAGCTCTGAGTCAACGATATTTTTATTGTCGCTTTTATTTTAAATAGCATTTAGCAGCTGATATAACTTGGTCATTTTCTTCCCACTTGTTTTTTAATCAAAATTTAAAGTAAAAGTGAAAAACCATACTTTGCTAGCGAACTTATTAAAATTAGTAAGGTGGGAAAGTACTTAAGATGTAAGAAAAACAATAAAATAGAAGTTTGAGTGAATCGGGGTTTTATCAGTAAATAACTTGAATGAACTGGGCAAGAGAAAAACGGCAAGACCTTGGTTTCGACTGTGAGAATGTCAGAGATTTGGAGGAGAGGGGAAGCTGCAGTCAAAAAGATACAGTAGGGACACATATAGAAATCTTCACTCTCATGAACTTAACTAGCTTCAAATTAAGGAAACTCTTGATATTTGACTTTTATATAATCATGAGATGGAAATCCAGAAGTCCATCTCTAATGATAGGCAAATGAAGTAGTAGGCTGGTAAAACAA